TTTTGAAATATGACAGCCTAAACATAGTCTTGCTCTCAGTTGTTATTTGTCCCTCTGCCACAGATAGAGTCCAGCAAAGAGAAAGCAGTCGGATGTAGAAAGTTCTAAATCTTCCAGGAAGAAATAAGAGATTCCTTCTAAGGCACCTGGATTATTGCGAAGTTTTGTCCGTACAATGCAGTTCTCCAACCATAAGCCATCTTCAGTTGCTCCTACTGGTTCTGATGAATGCCCAGTCTCTGTGGCTCCGTCGTAGAACCCAAAGCTCATGCTCACTTTCCATTCCCCACCCACCCCGCCCCACCAGAAATACCAATAATTCTTGGTTAACTAGAACTCTTCAGAGATTTGCCATAATTTAATTGATTATATTTTTTATGTTCGCTCAATAGACATTTAATGCCTCCCATGTGCTAGGCCAAGTGTGCTGGAACATGTCTAAATGGATCTAAGACTGTACAGAATGTGCCATCTAATGAGGAAGGCAGGCATTGAGTAAATTACTGGAGGGACACTTGTTACCAACTGAGAAGTAAGGAGCGCCAAGGAGTGCCAAAGGAGCACATAAAAGAGGAGAACTTGTAGTTGAATAGGGAGTACAATGGTTAAAGCACAGGCTCCGCAGTCAAACAGACCTAGGGTGGGATCCTAAAGTCAGCCACTTAGGAGTGTGTGACCTCTGGCACAGTACTCAAGCTTCCTCCACCTGTTTCCCCATCTGTAAAATGGGGATAATAATATTTAGACCTACTCAGGGAGTAGTTGTGAGGATGCAATGAGATAACATATGAAAGCCAAGTAGCACAGTTTGGGGCTGAATTTCTCTGAAGTCACTGCTGCCAAAGCTGAGTGTTATGTTCTAGAAGTCAGTGAGGATAGTTGGAAAGCAGAAATCTCTACATTAATACCTCCTCCCCCTAGGCATCGCTCTTTTTCCACAAATGCTGAACAAAGGAAAACCCTTCAATACCCTAGAAAAATCTTCTCTGCACTCCCTAATCTCTTTTCTGGGCATAAAAATCAGATACGAGGTTGAAACACCCAAGAAACCCCAGGAGCCTCTGACCCAGTGCAGTCATTTGCGAGCCTCTCTTGAAGGGAGGGCACTGAGTTTGGAGGAGGGCAGTGCACCGTAAGCTTCCTGACACGAGTTAAAGCATGGACTGAACACAGTATTGCTATACGCCTCTTTTTTTTTCCTTAAATGCATAACCCACTAAGCTGTACAGGGGTTTTGGGTGTTCTCACCCAAATTTAAAACTGGAACAGCAAATAGTTCAGGAACTAAAAACTAAGCATTCTTCTTTAAAAATGTGAAACTATTCTTCCTTGCCATCACTGAAAATGATTATTTATCTTTAAAAGAGTAATAATTATTTTAAAGTTATTAAATGCCCATTGAATTAGAATAAATGTATATATTGGGCACGGAGAAAGTGCTTAATGGAGAATTTTAACAGAAAATCTCAGGAATAAACTTCCTCAGAAAAGGTATTCTCTGAAGCAACAGATCTCAACTGGGGGCAATTTTCAACGGCCATGACTAAGGGGGGAGGCGGGACTACTGTCATCTAGTGCGTAGAGGCCAAGGATACCGGTAAACATTTTACAGCGCACACGACAGCCTTATACAATAAAAAACCATGCAGTCCAGAATGTCAGTAGTGGTTCAGTTAAGAAACCTTGTGCTAAACACACACACACACGACCAACAACAACAACAAAACAAAAAAAAACTGAGGCTTTCTTAGAATATGAAGATAAATACGGGCTTCTTACCTCTGAAGATATGTTATTTTTCACAAAATATTAAAGCTGGTTTACAGAAGACTAAACAAAACCTCACCCCTCAGCACTGTCACGGACCTCTGACCAGTTCAATAGTTGGTCCTGAGTTCTTACAGTTCTGTACTTAGCTGTCATCATAATGTATCTATTTCATTTTTAAAATATTATTTCCATACATTTTCCATGTGTCTACATGGTCTTTATTGCCAAACTTATTGTCACACGTTTAGGGACACCATCAATTTTTTAAGATTTTAAATATTTCGCCCTGGCCAGGTGGCTCAGTTGGTTAGAGCATCATCCCAATACACCGAGGTTGTGGGTTCGATCTCCAGTCAGGGCTCACACAAGAATCAATCGATGAACACATAAATAAGTGGAACAACAAATTGATGTCTCTCTCTTTCCCCATCCCCCTTCCTTTCTCTGTAAGATCAATAAATAAAATTTTTAGAAGGATTTTAAATACTTTATTCAAATATATGTTTCATTTACCCCTTAATCTGTTTTTCTTTTCACCTAATATACAGTGTTATAAGTTCCTCGTGTGAGAACATGAAAAATGTACTTGTTCTTAAAGAAAAGCACAACTTTTGAATATTACAAAAGCTCTCAGAACTCTGTTATCCAGAATTTTTTCCTTTCCTTCCGACAGTCTTTTATCAAATGGTTATCAACCATTTAAAAAGCAATAACTTAATCTTTAGTCTTTAGTCTGTCCACCAAGTTATTCTGTGGTTAGTCTCATCTTGGTCAAATTTTAAATAATATTTTAAAAAAGAACAAAACAAAAAGGATATTCCTTTAAAACCCTGCACTTAAAATTTGAAGTATTTTCTCCTCCATAAAATCCAACACCGTTGTCTGAGTGCCCTCTGCACCTGGCAGCTGTAGGTCTATCAGCCGCTGTGGTGGCCACTACATCACGGTCGGGCCCACGTGTGTGTGAGCAAGACTAGACTTTGAGCACCTCAAGGGCGGACACACTTACTAATCTCTGTACTTCCTATCAGTAGCCCAGCGCCTGGCTCGTGGTGGATATCGATAAAGATTTGTAGAATATGTTCATGACAAGCTAAGCACCTGAATCGTGGCCAGCATTATAAGATTTAAAACTTATTTGCCTCTGATATTTTCCAGAGTTCCTCTCTAGGTACTTCAGGTATCCACTATCTCCAGCCACGGATAAGAGAATCCAAGGGCAGAAAACACAGTTTATACTTCCTTTATAACTTTTATTGATTATGAATTAGGGAAAGTGCTAAATTCACCTCCAGGAGAACAGAATTTTCGTGTCCACAGAATAGAGAACTAGCTAACTGGTCTTTAGATGCCTATTCAGTTGCCCCTGAGAGGCCACCCAGTCGGAATGTTCTCACGGGTCCAAGACCCAGAGGAAGTGAACTGGGAGACTTTAGAGGGTGTCCCCGAGTCACGGACTTTATCTTCTTTTTCTTTTTGCCATTGGTACTGAAGCAAATCTTTGAATTATACTAAGTTCTTTGCTTAAAATTTTATTTCCCAATTTTTTCCAAATATATAAATAACATGTAAAATACATTTTAATGCAAAGGGAGATAGATATAGAGAGAGAAAGAGAGAGAGATGTAGTTAGGTAGGTAGATAAAGGGAGAGAGGTCCTTAAGTCTGTTGTTTAGTGAGGATATTGGAAATAAAAGGAGTAAATTGAGGAAGAATGCTAATGCTTGTCTTCGGTGAAAATTAAGTACAAAAATCACTCAAAACTATTTTGAAGACTCTTCAGGGATGTTGCATGTGGAAACATGGGCAGATATGCTAAGACTCTCGACAAGCAGATGCAGTCAATCTCAAAATTTCTTGAAGTGAAGTTGTGTTTGCCAAATTGTTTCTAAAAAATGCACAATTTAGAATCTGATTGTTAATCATTCTCTCACTAACCCTCGCAAACTCATTTTGTTGCTGGAGCCTATTAACTTCATTACTTTCTCTCTGCGTTCTGTGGTTGAAAAAATGCCAGCTGCAACGTTGCGTAATGAATGCGTTGTTAAAGTGAGCTGAGGGCTCTTGAACTCTTGATCACCATTTTGCTGCCCCATTTGAGAGATAAAATAGGGGTACTAAGGACTCAATTAACAGTATTCACCTGTCTCAGGAGAACACCAGAATGGCATTCCCCATCTTGACTGCACAGTAGCATCCTGTAGGGAGATTAACACAGAGCACTGGCTGTGTCCCACTCCCAGAGATTCTGTTGTCATTGGCTGGGGGTGCAGCCTGAGCACAGAAGTTTGTAGAGCTCCTCTGGTGATTCTAATGTGCAGGCCAGGTTGAAATTCATGGCACACCAATGCCCCAGCACACTTTGTCCAACTTAATATAAAACATATTTAAGATTATGAATTGCTTACTGTGTTTTTGAAGTAATTCTCACACGTACCCTCACACTAGGTTCTCTGGGTGGAAGCGTACCTTGGCTTGTCACCTAACACCCAGGGACCAACACAAAGCACTAAGGTCAAGGAATGTTTAACTATTCTGTTAATACTTATCCTAATCAAAAAGCCCTTTTTAAGTAAGACTTTGAAAAATCCAATTTGAATTTTTCATGCTCAATGTAGTATCAGCCATGTCCAGTTACATAAAACTCATCTAATTTTGTTCTCCTCCATATTTGCTACTAACTAAATGAAAATCTAATGGCTAAAAGGGAGCTCCAGTTCTTTACACAAATTTTAATTTCCCTGGAATTAAGCATGTAGGTATAAGCATTCTCTCCTAAATCAACTTGCAGATATGAATATAATTGCTGATATAATTTGACCAAAAAGAAAAAAACACAAAGAGGTAAACAAACTAGATCTGATGTTTTATGATCTCACTTTTAATGGGAACCTAATTGACAAAACAAAAACAAACAAGCAAACTATAACCAAAGACACTGAAATTGAGAATAGGCTGACAGTGACCAGAAGGGAGAGGGGAGGGAATTTCAGGGGAAAAGGGGAAGGGTTTGCAGGAACAAGCATAAAGGACACATGGACAATAACAAGGGGGGGTGGTGGAAACGAGAGGGAGGTGGGGAGGACTAGGGGGGTGGGCTGGGATGGGGGTAAAAGGCAGAAAAGTGTACTTGAACAACAATATACATATATTAATTTTATATTAATATATATATTTGGTTTCACAGGACTTTAGAATTCCAGGCACTGCATTTCCAAACAAATACTTACATTTTCTAGGAGACAAACAGCAGCAGGATTCCCATAAAATGCTTTCGCTGTGAATGCATCTGCTATGAAAATAGGGAGCTTCATTTTCCTTGTAAGCTGTTTCTGTAGGCTCTCAAAATTACTGGTAATCTGCTTTACTTCTTGCTGTTGCAAAAAAATTTAAAAAGTTAATGTTTTACTTGCTGTACAGAAGCAACTAACAGTTCCCAGATACAAAGTCAAGCAATTATTCTAACACACCTACATTTAAAGATATGTGATCTCTAATTTTTAAGCCTCTAAATTGAATTTGCTTTAAAATACTGGATGAATAACTTTTGTATTAACATTTATACTGTATATATACTTAACAACATAATTGTATTCTTACTTAGAGTAGCCAAAACTAGCTAAGGCTATGTTTTTGATGAAGTGAATAAAACATCCAAGGGGTATACATGTGCTTATAGTCACCCAATGAATATTACTACCCTTTTAAAAGAGTGTATTTTTTCTTATTATAAAAGATATGTTCATTGATAAAATAAAAAACTTGGCAAAATAAAAAGTGACCCATAACCATGCAATAACATTTTTTTAATTTTGAACTTAAGTCAAAAAAAACCTCATAGTAAAAAAAAACCTCATGCTTTATTTTGTGTTATTTTATTAAACCTTCAAGTGGAGACTTTTTTGAGCTAATGAAATAGATTAGTAAAAGCTTAGTCATTATAGTCAATACTCTTAATAATTTTATGACTAATCAAAAAGATTAGTCATTATAATCTTATTAGTCATTATAATCAAAAAGATTAGTCATTATAAGAATAATACTTCCTTTTCATAAAAAAAATCTATCAAATACAGAAAAGCAGAGGGGAAAAACAATCTCCTGTGCTTTCACTCCCTAGAGATAAATTCTATTAATATTCTGAGTGTTTCTTTTGCTTTACTAGAAACTTGGACGTGGCCTTCTACCCTCTCTGACCCCTCCCCCACAGACAGCGCCACAATGCAGCAAAGAGGGTTGCCTAGCCCTGGTGAATACCTAAAGCTCCGCCCCTTACAACATAACAGGTGCACCAAGACAAAGAAATATGACCCAAATGAAAGAACAGATCAAAACTCCAGGACAAGAACTAAGCAATGAGGAGATAGCTAACCTATCTGATGCAGAGTTCAAAACACTGGTCATCAGGATGCTCATAGAAATGACTGAATTCGGTCGCAAAATGAAGGAAGAAATGAAAGCTATACAAAGTGAAATAAAGCAAAATATACAGGGAACCAAAAGTGAAGGAAAGGAAACTAGGACTCAAACCAAGGATTTGAAACAAAATTAAGAAATAAACATCCAACTGGAACAGAGTGAGGAAACAAGAATTCAAAACATGAGGAAAGGCTGAGAAAGCTCTTGGACAACTTTAAATGCTCCAACATCTGAATCATAGAGGTGCCAGAAGGAGAAGAGGAAAAGAAAGAAATTGAAAACTTATTTGAATAAACAATGAAGGAAAACTTCCCCAACCTGGTGAAGGAAATAGATTTCTAGGAAGTCCAGGAAGCTCAGCAAGTCCCAAAGAAACTGGACCCAAGCAGGAGCACCTTAATTATGATTAAGTTACCCAAGATTAAAGACACAGAGAGAACTTAAAAGCAGCAATAGGAAAAGAGAGAGTTAACTACAAAGGAGTTCCTATAAGGCTATCAGCTGTTTTCTCAAAAGAAACCTTACAGGCAAGAAAGCGCTGGAAAGAAGTATTCCAAGTCATGAAAGGCAAGGACCTACATCCAAGATTGTTCTATCCAGCAAAGCCATAATTTAGAATGGAAGGGCAGATAAAGTTCTTCCCAGATAAGGTCAAGTTAAAGGAGTTCATCATCACCAAGCCCTTATTATATGAAATGTTAAAGGGACTTATCTAAGAAATAGAAGATGATCAAAAATATAAACAGTAAAATGACAACAAACTCACAACTATCAACAACTGAACCTAAAAAACAAAAACAAAAATTGGGCAAACAACTAGAACAGGAACAGAATCACAGAAATGGAGATCCCATGGAGTGTTATCAGTGGGGAGGTGGAAGGGGGAGAATGGAGGGAAAAGGTACAGGGAATAAGAAGCATAATAGGTAGGCACAAAATAGACAGAGTGAAATTAAGAATAGGAAATGGAGAAGCCAAAGAACTTATATATACAACCAATGGACACTAACTAAGTGATGGTGGGGAGGGGGAATGCTGAAGGGTGATAGGGTGCAGGGAGGAGGGGTAAAAGAGATAACAAATTAAAAAGAAAAAGAAAATTCAACAAATTAGAGGGCACTTTGATTACATATAAAAGAAAATGACCACCCTGGCTGGTGTGCCTCCATTGATGGGAATGCTGAAACATAAATCTATAGGTCACAGGTTCAAATCCCATTGAGGGCACATGCTTAGGTTGCAGGTTTGGTCTCAGGTTGGCGTGTGTACGCAAATTGACTGGTCAATGTTTCTCTCTCCCTCCCCCTCCCATCCCCTCTCTCTAAAAGCAATAAGCATGTCCTTAGGTGAGGATTAAAAAAAAAAGAAAAGAAAAAAGAAAATTACCTATCTAACATGCTTTTTTTTTCACTTTTAAATTGAATTTATTGGGGTTACTTGGTTAAAAATATTACATATAGGGGGTACAATTCTATAATAAATCATGTGTATTATATCATGGGTTCACCACTCCAAGTCATGTTTCTTTCCATCACCACTTATCCCCCCCTTTAACCTCTCCAACCTCCTGAACCCCCATTTCCCTCTGGTAATGCCCATGCTGTTGTCTGTCTGAGGGGTTTTTTTCTTAACCCTTCACCTTTTTTCACCTAGCCTCCTACCCCCTCCCCTCTGACAACTGTCAGTGTGCTCTTTGTAGCTATGAGTCTTTCTATTTTGTTCTTTTGTTCATTAGATTCCACAAATAAGTGAAATCATATGGTATTTGTCTTTCTCTGACTGATTTATATCACTTAGCATAACACTCTTCTGGTCCATCTGTGCTGTTGCAAAAGGTAAGATTTCCTTCTTTTTATCCTCACCATGAGGGGGATATTTATAATTTTTTGCTTTCAGAGAGAGAGGAAGGGAGAGGGTGAAACATTGATTGTTTTTTTCTTGTACACACCCAAAATGGGAATAGAACCTACAAACTAGGTATGTTGCCCTGACTGGGAATCAAACCCACAATCTTTCAGTTAAAGGATGATGCTCCAACAAACTGACCTACACTGTCCAGGACAAAAGTTCCTTCTTTTTTACACCTGAGTAAGAAGTGTTACATTGTGTAAATGTACTACAGCTTTTTTATCCATTCACCTACTGATGGGCACTTGGGCTGCTTCCAAATCTTGGCTATTGTAAATAATGCTACAGTGAACACAGGGGTGCATATATTCTTTCAAATTAGTGTTTCAGGTTTCCTCAGATATATTCCCAGAAGTGGAATTGCTGGGTCATAAAGAAGTTCCATTTTTAATTTTTTGAGGAAACTCCATACTGTTTTCCACTGTGGCTGCACCAATCTGCATACCCACTAACAGCATACAAGGTTTTCCTTTTCTCCACCTCCTTGTCAACACGTTTGTTGATTTATTGATGATAGCCATTCTGACAGGTATGAGGTAATATCTCATTGTGGTTTTAATTTGCATCTCTCTGATGATTAGTGACCTTGAACATCTTTTCATATGTCTATTGGCCATTTGGATGTCCTTTGCCCATTTTTAAATTGGATTGTTTGTGTTGGTGTTGACTTGTATAAGTTCTTTATATATTTTGGAACTTAACCCCTTATCAGATATATCATTGGCAAATATGTTCTCCCATTCAGTGGTTTGTCTTTTCATTTTTTTGGTTTTCTTTACTGTGCAAAAACTTTCTAGTTTGACACAGTCCCATTTGTTTATTTTTTTCTTTTGTTTCCCTTGCCCACAGAGATAGATCAGAAAAAAAATATTACTATGAGAAATGTCTGGGATTTTACTGCCTATGTTTTCGTCTAGAATTTTTTATGGTTTCAAGTCTAACATCTAAGCCTTTAATCTATTTTAAGTTTACTCTTGTGTGTGGTGTAAGAAGGTGGTCTGGTTTCATTTTTTTGCATGTAGTCTCTGCCCAATTTTCCCAACATCATTTATTGAATAAACTATCTTTAGCCCATTGTATGTTTTTGCCACTTTTGTCAAATATTAATTGACCATAAAGGCTTAGATTTACATCTCGGCTCTCTATTCTGTTCCATTGAGCTATATGTCTGTTTTTATGCCAGTGCCATGCTGTTTTGATTACTATGGCCTTGTAGTATAGTTTTATATCAGGTAGTGTGATTTGTCACACTATCTGATATAATTCCACCAACTTTGTTCTTCTGATTAAAGGTTTGTCGATCTTGTTTATCTTTTCAAAGAACCAGCTTATGGGTTCGACGATCTTTTGTATTGATTTTTTAGACTCTATTTAACTTATTTCTGCTCTAATTTTTATTACTTCCTTCATTCTACTCCCTTTGGGCTTTTTTAGTTGTTCTTTTTCTAGTATCTTTAAGTGTAAAGTTAGATTGTTTATTTGAGATTTTTCTTATTTCTTGAGGTAGACTTGTAATGCTTTGAATTACCCTCTTACGGATGCTTTCTCTGTGTCCCATAGATTTTGAGTTGTTGTGTTCTCATTTTCACTTGTTTCAAGGTATCTTAATTTTTTCCTTAATCTGGTTGTTAACCCATTCATTGTTTAGTAACATGTTATTTAGTCTCCATGTCTTCATGTTTTTTTCAGTTTTTTCCTTGTGAATGATTTCTAGTTTTATGCCATTATGGTCAGAGAAGATGCTTGATCTGATTTCAATCTTCTTAAATTTATTGAGATTTTTTGAGTGTCTTAATGTGGTCTATTCCAGAAGATGTTCCATGTGCACTTGAAGAGAATGTATATTCTGCTGCTTGGGGGTGAAATATTCGGAAACTATCAATTAAATCCATCTGACTGTGACTGGGTAGCTCAGTTGGTTAGAGCATCAGCCTGATACATCAAGGTTGTAGATTCAATCCCCACTCAAGGCACATATAAGAATCAACCAACGAAAGCATAAATAAATGGAATAACAAATTGATGTTTCTCTCTACCTTCCTCTCTC